GTCAGACGTGGACTACCAAGTGGACACCTTGCCAAGAACTCACACAGTGACCAGCAATGGTACTCAAGCCACAAAAGGTCTTGTTTTTTGTTTTTTTTTCCTCTGCCTTGTTTTAACAGGACCAGAACATCTTATCCTACTTTGGAGCCAGCAAGTCTACAACAGAGCTGTTGTTGTGTTAGACCACTTGCACTTAGACTTGTGTTAATGACTCTTGCTAATGGGCCGAAGCTTCCGATCCCTTGTGGTGTAACTGGAGAATAAGAGAAGATCATATGTCTGTGAATGGTATTGGTTTTCTCCTCCACTATTAGCACACACCGAGTAATACCCTACAAGTTTACTATGTCCCATGATACCTGCACTCCCACCACGGGAGCCAGTATTGTTGATGTTACAGAGGAGCTAGTTTACAAGGCACGCTTTGACCAAGTGTTTACACGTCTCTGGTGCAGGATATATTTGCAATGTTTGTGCCTTGCTTGTATATGCTGCGTTGACTTGAGGTAACTATACAAACCAGGCTACAGAGGATATTAGCCAGGCATCTTTAAATAAATGTCATATCTTACTGACTCTACTGTCGGAAGTTCACACTTTACAGCAGTAATTTTCCCCTCATGTCTTTTTCTCCAACTAATGGCTCTATATTTCCCAGTGGGGGGGGGAGCCTGGCGGTACACTGCAGCAGAGATGGGCACACAAGCTTCTGCTCTCTCTACGTCATGTTCATCTACATGTTCATCTACAGACTTGATTCCCTATGGGAAAATAGCCTGTCTGCATCTCCTGCCCTCTCATTCTCTATCACTCTCTCTGGTCATTCTTCGTTCTAGCAGGTTCTGTCGGCCTGAGGAAGGCCTCCGAGTCTGGTGATGACTGACAGCGAGAATGCCTCTGTTCTTCTCTGCGTTCCATGTGCACTCTACTGTAGCATCATCTTGGCAGCCTTCACGTCCATGTAATCTCTAGTACATACAGTAGAAGTTCCCTTCTGTATGTTTCAGTGAGTCTGAGTGCCTCCGCCCCCTTTAGGAAGAAGGTGGTAGTGCCTCGGTTGAGGTCAACTTAATATGCAGCAAAATAATAATAATAATAATAATTATTATTATTATTAACAATATTATTAATATTAATACTGTATAGTAGTGGATTATATTATTTCTTTAAGTCAGTTATTTTTTTTTTTTTACAATTTGAAATTAAAGACAACTTGTGCTTTTGCTTTTTTCACTATAATTTGGATAATACCGTATAGAGCAGACAGGAAACATTGTAGGACAGAACTGGCATTCAACTTGGGTCACGCAAAGCATAACCGCGATGTGTGTTGGAGCATTCGCCCAACAAGGCTATCGGCTACCTTGTGCTTTTTTCGTTGTTACAACTGAGTTCAGTTAATTTCCTCTCTGTACTGTACAGAACCTCTGCAGTAGAGAGAATCACTGTAATTAGTTTTAAAAATAGACACCTTTTATTTATTAATTATTTAATGTTTAAGAGGTTAAACATTAGATGAATCCTGGTACTAACATATATCAAACTGTGGGTTGCAAACCGTATGGTTCTTGTTTTATGGGAACCGTTTCAACCCCGACTGATTTCTCACCTAAGCTGTCTGTTGTTGGCAGGGACTCCTCATTCCTTTATCAGTATTTTTATCTCCTCTCTTAGAGAAATCTCTGTTCTGTCTGGAGGTGTGATTTATGTATTCTTTTATTGAATTCCTGCGCGTTGTTTGAACTGAATATGGCAATGGTGTTTACTTAGCATTTCTCTTAGTTTCATTGGCAGCATTAAAACCGGTCTCATCTGGTCTGCTTTGATCTTGAGACAGTCGAATACTGTAGAAGACGTGGCAAAGGAATGTGATTTATGAAACCACTTAGCATGTGCGATACTCAAAAATTGAGAAGGCTTGTAATTGGTGAGATGTTTTTTACCTGCTAAAATTGCATGTGCCAAAATGTAACTGAGAGCTCTGTTAAATGGGAAGTTTCTTCTTCTTGTGAACTATTCCCGCAAAGCTTCACAAGAAGAAAAGTGAGCACACAGGACAGTTAGAGCTCGTTATTGCCTCTTTTCTTAGACCACTGATAAAAAGCAGGGGAGGCAAGGGTTGACGGAGGAGTAATTTTACCATTGTAATGAAGAGTGTATCTGCAATTAGCCTTTTGTCCTCTACAGCTAGTTCAGGCCCTCGGATCCAAACATGCGTGACTCCTGCATCCCATTTAGTCTGACTGAGGAGCCTGTCGTCTGACGGTCTGTGCTGGTTAAAGATCCCCCGCTGAACATTTTAACTGTGGTCACACAATTCTCTGAAATGCTGATTGCGGTGCATTGCATGGCTGCTCTCTGGCTTATTTGCTCTGCTCTTGAAACTTCTCATCTCAGTTGATGCTGCGGCCCCCTAATTGTGCGGGACCCTCCGGCATTTCCAGCCCTAAAGCTGTTGTTCAACCATCAAATTGCATTTACTATAATGGAAATAAATCTGTCCCTGAAGAAACGGAGTGAGGACACGCTTGGAGAGTTGAGCACTTTACACCATTGTTTTAGGCACTGTTGCCAGGCTGAAATGGTCATCAGATATTTCTCAGTCTTTTGCTAGTCACATTAGCTTACAGTATATATACAGTTTCAGAGTTTATTTTAACAGCATGATGAGTTTGATTTTGATGTATTTTCTGTGAAAGTAGTAGAAGCTTGTTGACATTTTTATGTGCAGAGACAATTTGGGAAATAGCAGAAAGAAAAGGGCAACAGTGCCACTCTGTGACACAAATACTGTTCTCACAGCTTGGTCTGTCATTTCTGGTATCTAATGGTTGTTAGATCAGAAACTATTTTATATGAAGTGATTTTTTTTTTTTTTTTATGGACTGAAATATTGTTTTGGGGTTATAAATGCATTAATTTAGCAGGTGCTTCTGTCCAAAGTGGCTTTGCTTTGTTAGCACCAGTTACAGTTGATCTAACAACTTTATTTAAGATGTACAATTGATGTATACACAATTGACAATTGAACGATCTGAGATGATGCAATCCAGGTATTGGTGACTGTTTCCTACTTATTGCTTGATAACTAATGATTTTTTTTTTACTTGTGTTCAGCTTAAAGAAGACCTAAAATGGCAGTACTTTTAAAACCTCTCAGACATGTTTCTTGGAAAGAAACTGCAGACTGCAACTGACCTTAAAAAGTTCAAGGCTCACTTTTCGTCTGTACATTCTCACTAGTTTCCCAGTGGGCTGACCTGCTCTCTTTGGTCTTTGACGGTAGCTTCAGAAAGATACTGAGTGCTTCTCTTCAGTCTGTGCTGAACTCAGCTGGCCATAAGTGAAAGATGTGATTTATATGCTTCACAGCTCGCTTTCTGAATCTGAGCTTTCCTTTAAAAGGAAACTTTTTGAAGACCTCAGTTCTTGTTCACTTTCATTGAATACTCCATGAGATTGGTCAGACCATGAGGACATTTTATGTCTGGTATTCATTATTATTTTGACAAATTCAGTAATTTGTTAGAATGATTCAGATTGTTAACCTGAGAGTTTGCTGATTTGTTTTGATGAAAGTGATCAACCTGTAAATGCAGTGTATGCATTTTATTGACTTGATTCTTCACAAGAACCAGCTTAGAGTTATTTGCTTGTGAATTGGACTACAGTGTGTCCACAGCTTAAAGAGATAAATCACCCAAAAATGGAAATTCTGGCATCATGTCACTGTCCTGTCTGCAAAACCTTCTGCATAACACAAAAAAAGTAATATTTTGAAGAAATTTGGCATCAAAATAACATCGGACCCCATTAACTTACATTGTTTTTGGCAAAAACGGAGACATTTTCAGATTATCTACTCGTTTTCCACAGCCAAAAGAAAGTCATACAAATTTGGAATGACATTGGGGTGATTAAATGATGACAGAATTTTTATATTTGGGTTAATCATCTCTTTAAACTGTGGGAACACTGCTGTCCAATTTACAGGAAAATAACTCTTGCTGTCTCTTGTAAAGAATCCGTCAAGAAAATTAATTAGGCTAACTTTCAGGTTGATAAACTATCACTTTAGTTTGCATGCAATCATGAAGAAAGGTGAAAAAGAAAAACAGACTGTATTTTTTTGTGTTTGTATTATTTTCTGATTGCATTCAATTCCCACTGCAAACTCACAATACAGGTAAATATATATTTTATGCTGTGCAACTGTAGAATCAGTACTAATGCAGCACAGATGCTAAACAGTGGTTTTAGAAAACACTACTGTGCATCCTCAGTGAACACAAGGAGGCTGTCAGGGTTAAAGAAACGTGCTGCAGGGAGATGTGTGGTTTGGCTGGCCACTCTTTTTATTGTGCTGCTTTTTCATTTTTCCTCCATAAAGCGTCTTTCTGCTGCTCTTGCTCTTCCTTAAAACTGTGATTTAAGGAACTCAAAGGAGGGAATCTCTTTCCTTTTTGCGTCTCTGGTTGTACATATGACTGGCTATTATTGTGTGATTATCACCCATTTTTCTTTTCTTTGCCTCATTTTGCATCTCCTTCACTCCCTTCTGATTTCAGGTCATTTTTCTCTGTGTTCGGCCAGGCCTTTGGACTGAGAGAGTCTTATTTTTCCTCTTCCACTTTTATGAGGGACATTTATAGCTGAGGTCATATTGTTTTCATGCTCGCGACACGTCACCTGATGCGTTTAGCACAGCCGTTGGGTCAGGTTTTTGTGGCATTCACCTGCAGGTGAAAGTTTGGAGACTCTTGGTAACTTGGAAAGTTGGTGACGTGACGGGGAATTGAAACTAAATCTGCAGTAGCTGGAGATTACATCTAAACGCTACTGGCAGTATACGAGTGGATAATGTGTCTGTGAAGTGATGTTGTGGAATATCGCTTTGCACAAAGGTAGAAATGTACAACTGTGGTTGATCTGAAGATGCATCGTGTTATACTGATATTTGGTATTAAGTTCTTTATTTCTGTTTTCTTGTGTCTATGCAGGTTGGGTGATCAAGCAGTAGTGCAGCTCTGACAGCCAGTGGAAACCCAGGTGTGTATCTTCATGTGGGGTTTTGCAATATTTACATTTATGCATTTGGCAGACACTTAAATTGCATTCAAGGATACAAATTTGATCAGTTCTTGCTTTCTCTGGGAATCAAACCCAAGACCTTGTCATTTCTATTGCCCTGCTCTACTGTTTAAGCTACAGGAAGGAATGTACCTGTGTAATCATTTTGGCTAATTTGTGTCGGTAATTTTTCTATAAATCAATCCAGGAAGGGTTTTTTTTTTTTTGTGAAAAAAAAAAAAAACTCCCTTGTCCCTCACCACGGCTCAATTATTTTTGAACAAAAATTCAGTAAATTCAGTAAAGTGTAATATTTAATAAAGTGTAATTTAAAAGAACTGTTTTCTATTTTAATGTATTTTAAAAAGGAATTTATTACATTTGATGGTTTACCACCTCTGATGGTAAAGCTGAATTTTCAGCAGCCATTACTCCAGTCTTTACATGGTCCTTCAGAAATCATTGTAATATGCTGATTTGCTGCTCAAGAAATATTTATTTTTATTATCAATGTTGAAAACAACTGTGCTGCTTAATGTATATACAACCCCTGTATGTATGTATGTGTGTGTATATATATATATATATATATATATGTATATGTATATATATATGTATATTTAAATTTACATTTCCTTTAGGATTCAAAAGAACTTCACAACATTATAAATGTCTTTACTGTCACTTTTGATCAGTTTAATACATTCTTGCTGAATAAATGTATTAATTTCTTTAAAAAAAAATCTTACTAAACCATTAATGTTCAATACTGAACACTAAAGTGGCTTGGTCATTCACTGATGGGGTGTCTGTAGTGTGCTTACTCAGATCAGTCATTTCAGTTTGTAGGTCAGGTACATTTTGCTTGTTTGTTTGTATTCACAGTCATTGCATATTTGAAAGTGTTTGCGTTAGTGCTGTAGTTCCACCTTATTCCATTAGAGGGTGCTAGAGAGCTAAACTTGTACATGGCCTGCTTTGACCCTAGTGACATCTTTGATTCAGTCACACATTCTGCTTCTGTGTTCTGTTGTGTCCTCCTGCTACATTACAGGATAAATTATTCCAGTCTACAGTGCAGCTACCATCCTGCCTTTTATGCACAGAATAAATAAAAAAAGACTTTTTTTTTTGTAATAAATAAATAAAAGGCTTAAACTTTTTTTCCAGCAAACAGTTAGTGAAAGCAGGTGTTCTGCATTTTTTTTTAACAAACTTTGTTATACAAGGTTTGCAATCTTTGCAATTGGTACCGAGATTTTGCATCAAAATATCTGAAAACAGTTGCGTACTTTTTTCTTTATTCTTTATTTTTTTTAAATGTTCCAAAACTAGCTACTGTTTCATGATGTTAATTGTGTGTTATATGACAATCTAACAATATATATAACAATATATTTATCTAACAATATTTCATTATTTTCTGATTAAAGAACATCAGATTTGCACCTTTATTGCTTTTAAAAACCGTAATTGACCACCAAATTGTGGAACACCACTTTTTGGGGAAGCATATTATTGTTTGTTTATTATTACTTTTATAGGACTATATATTGTAGGATTTTTTAATTTATAATGATAGGAAATTATATTGTTTTATGGCATTGTTTTATAATTCTTTCTTTGTTTGTTTGTTTTATAATTTTGTAATATTTTTTCTGTATTTTCTTCATTTCTGTGATGCTGAAGGACATTAGTAAAGGTGTTAAACTGTAGTTTTCAAGGCTCTTGAGGATCTCGGGTCTGTTTATAGATGTATAATGTTAGTGTACTAAAATCTTGATAATTGCTGTTATTTATTTATTTTAAATAGTTGTGGGTTAATGTGAGTATAGATCATTGAGCATGTTCAGTCTAGTAAAAGTACTGGATGAGGTGCAATGGTTTGCATTGGCCTCATGATGGCGTTAGAGTTTCTTCCAGATTTTCAGACTGAAACTGAAGATGAGCTGATACAGAGCCAGTGAGCAGATCCAGACTGCTTCATGTTTAAATATTTCATTAATTGCACTAAACAGCGGTTGCATTTAATATTCTAGTGAGCATGGCTAGTTTACAACTGAATTTCTAAGAACCTTTTTAGCCATTAACTTTGGAAATCTTTTTTTTTTATTCCATATCCCCAGATTTCCCTGTAGCCCAACATCAAATATCAGCTCTGAGCTTCTTCAGAAGTTGCTAGGATGATGGTTTTCTATGAAGTATTAGACGTATAGGGGGGGAAAAAATCCCAGATTAAACCCAACTGAAAGTGAGCGGAAATGGTATTACATTTCTAAAGTCTACTTTTACCATCTTATTTTATATATGTATATATATATAGAGAGAGAGAGAGAGAGAGAAATTGTATTAGTTTTCTATTATGTTTTTATTTTTTTATGAATTTTTATTTCAACTAAAGTTTATTATTTTAGTACATCGTTAAACTGAATGAAAACAAGAAATGTTGCCTTGGCAGCAAGTTAAATGTTTTTTTTTTATTTTATTTTATTTTAGTTAAAGTTATTTCAAGTATGGATTTTTTTATGGTTTTAGTTAACTATAATAAGCCTGTCTTATACGCATTGCATTGCAGGGTGTACTGCAGCAGAACAAGAAGTGAAATGCAAAATAAAAGCAGTTTCTTGGTAAAGAAAGTAGTGTTGGTGAAAGGATGTCAGGGGAGTAAACATGTCCTTTTTGGCCATGTGAATGCAGGCTTTTCATTGGCTGAAGTTGCCATGATGTCATGGACTGGACTGGCGGGAGCAGACTGCTCTTGCCTCAGGTAAAATAGCAGGATACGTGTTAGAGAAGGGAAGAAACAAATCCAGCGCAAAATCTCCAGCGGTCTGTGTTTACTCTGTCGAACCTTGTAAAGCTCTACTAGTATCCTCTCCTCTGAGCTTCCTGCTTCTCTCTCTCCTCTCACCAAGTACCAAAAGCAGAGGAGGGGGAGGAGACCACGCATGTGTTTGTGTGTGTGTGGTAGAGCTGAAAGTGTGGAGCGAGGGAAGGGGGCTGGCGGCGCACACCTTCACTGAGTGCCTCAGAAACACAGAACAGTGCAGTCAGGTAGCTTCTTGTGTCCGATTCGAGCGTCAGGGTCAAGCGGCCATGGCCCTGGTTGTGGACGCCGCACACTGCATGGGGGCCTACTACTGCCTGATTAGGACCCGATTCAAGCGGCGACGCAAGAAGCGCTCGGAGCGGAAAGGTCAGAACGCTTTCTTTAACAGGCCTGGCGGAGATCTGTGATCGTTTTTCGACTTCTAAAACTTGATCGTATGCAGCGTTTTCTTCAGTGTGTGTGATTTGCATTTCCAGACCGATATTTAATGGTAGTTGACTCTTTTGGGAAGTTAATGTGTATTGCAGTGTGATGCATGTAAAATTATTTTAAACTGTAATTTCTTTATGAGAGAAGAGTTTAAAGAGAATACATGTAATATTTATCAGTTTTATGTATCAGTTTTATTTTGGTAGCTTCATCAGCTTTATGCAGTATTTGTCATTTTATCATTTTAAATGAAGGTAAAAGGCACTTTTTGTTGTTTAGTCTGGTAAAATCGAAAGCTGGTAATGCAGTTTTCCGTATGATACAGCTGTGTGCTTCTGGATAATACAACTCTGTACTGAACGGGATGAAAAACTGGGTAAATAAGTTTAGAAATATAAAGAAATGTTGAAATACTGGGATGTCTACAGGTCCTTAAGTGTCTTAAATTCACTGTCCAAAAATCCTTCAGTAATATTTTTTTAATTAACCCTTTAACTGTCACCCGTCCCCTCTGTGGGACGCCTAAGTTTACTTCACTATATTACAATTAAATCCTAATCTAATCATGACAAACTATGTATCGTTGGAATGGTCTAAGGCTCCTAAATAGATATTTTACCAATGTTTTTGTTAAAAATTATGTAGGAAAAGTAATAGATGAATATTTGACAAGAGTGCACCTCAAAAATCTACATCATAACAGGAGTTCTGTCAAAAAAAGTCTTCTTTGTTGCCTTTTTCTCTATCACACTTTAGAACTCATCAGAAATGATAAATCAATTGAAAACTTTAAATCTCAAAATTCATCCTTTGAAACCCATTTTAAAATCAAACATTGCATTACCTTGAAAATGGTACATCAATATCATGTTACAAAATATTTTCGTTCATGAATTATAAAAAGTTTGGATCGTGCACTTTCACGTCATCACGTCACATTCATATGTTCAAAAATGTGAGTGACAGTTAAGGGGTTAAATATTGTTTATATTTAATGTTTCATTTTATATTTATATTTTTAATATTGCAAGAATCCAAAAATTGAATCAGCCATTTTATTTATTTATTTATAAATCTACTTGGATATTAATTTTCCATTAATTAATTTAGTGTAAAGCAAAAGTGGAAATCATTCCCTGATTATTACCAACTTGATTTTTGCTCTGTTGTAGTTTTCACAAACCTCTTTGTGTTTTTAATTAATTTCTTTCTTTATTTATTTATGTATAAATTAGGAAAATCTATGTTTGGTCAAAATTATCATTCCTCTGTGAAATTCATCCTTTTTAAGCAAACTTAGAACATTGAATGTCATAAAAAAATTACCAAAAAAAACAAGCTTTTTACCTGTATTTATCATTCATTTGAGTTGATGAGGGTCCTTACATGTATTTTTAATTTATTTTAAGTCTTAAAAGGTCTTTAATTTCATTCATTTATACATGCAAAGACCCTGAAGATTATGACTAATAAATAGGGTCACACAGTATCGCATTGACGTAAAAAATTCATAAGGCAGACTTTTCTTTAAAGTAAGTGGTTTGGGGAGAATTCTGCATGATTCAGTTTCTTGTTGCAGGAGTTCTCATTTATTGCTGTAGTGTTTCGTGAATGATGGACGTTTCTGTGGTTAGTTTAGGTGATGCTGTTCTCACTGGGATTGTTGTGGAATGAGCAGCTTGTGTTTCTGACGGGTCACCATGGTGATGAACCACAAACA